GTGCCAGTAGGCTTAGTATGGGGAGGCTCCGTGGACTTGGTGTGAGGAGGCTCCGTGCCGGTAGGCTTGGTGTGCGGAGGCTCCGTGGACTTAGTATGAGGAGGCTCCGTGTTGGGAGGCTTGGTGTGCGCGGGCTCCGTGTTGGGAGGCTTCTCATGAGTAGGCTCCGTGTGAGCAGCTCCGTCTTGCTGGGCTCCTTGTTGGGAGGCTTCTCATGAGTAGGCTCCGTTTTCTGAGGAGGCTCCTTGTGAGTCCCAGTAGGGCGAGGAGCCGGGTCGGAAGCCTCAGACCAGTGAGGAGGCTCCTTGTGAGGAGACAGATCAATTGTAGCCGGAGACCCATTATCCACGCCGCGGTTCTGGATAACACCAGCGAGTGCTGGGCCAGCCAGAGCCAGCAGAGCAATAGTCCCTTTAACCATCTCGAAGGATGATCGACCTCTCAAAAGCAGATACCAGAAGCACAAACAAAAGACAATCAGTTGGAATTAAACGAGTGAAATAACAGCGAGCGACTTTTCTAGGCTCGATACAAGCGTGTTGAAAAAGAAGTCATTTCAATAGAGAGAAGACGTGAACTTATATCTCCATGACGGCCACGTTGGTTGCCGTTTCCGTGAGGATGCTCATTGATGGCTACAATGCCACAGTAGTATCGATTTTCAACAAGATCTGGTGCCTGGTTCAAGAGGAGAAGAAAATCTTGATTGCTCGACACATAAGGCCCATTGGTCTGCAGTGTAAAACTGCGATATAACGAACCATGGTTTTCTGGTAAGCTGATTAGTGGGACAAACAATTGGTGGTATTTGGATAAGACTCAAAATCTTCAGATAAAGTTCGGAGGTGGGTGCTACGTGGTATCGTATTCAGGTGAGAAACCCACATACCCAGTCAGGCCTTCGGTGTTGCAGAGAGAAAGATAGCGTACTTAGATTTCGGACACACTATGCAGAGAGTCGTGGTGTCATCACTTCAGTCAAGTGTCTTCAAGTGAAGCAACAGATGCTAGCCCGATCCGGCGAACGAATCTTCAAGGAACATGTAGATACAGTTTTGTTCCTTGAGTAAAATGGCTGCATCATTTGTGGCAGGTTGGTTCCTGGAACTCATGTTCTTCCCAGGCCATGGACAACCATGGCCAAATTAAACCATGCAGGTATTCAAAAACGGCAGTCAACAGCCTACAAGGTTGGCCAACAGGGGATCTTCCCTGCTTGTGGTCACCGACTTGTAGCTTAATGACGCCAGTTTGGTAGCACCATCAGTTATCACCCATGTGCTTCAAATTGGCAGAACTCTGCAAGATCGAGAAAAGCGCCTCTGGAATGTGGAGCCAAGCTATAGGGAAGTTCTGCAAGCTTTACGGTACGCGTGAAATTCACGTTGTGCACATGGCACAAGGCGCAAAAAGGGAAGCCGTAGCGAAGGAAGCGAATACAGGATCGAAGAGTCCCAGCAAATCACGAAGAATGTAGAATTTTACATGCTTCGTAAACTTCAACAGTGTATACCAGGTCAATGACGACACCTAGAAGATATTGCCCGATTACAGCTAGAAACCGCCCTCGAGTATGACGACACTGATGTCTTCTGAAAGTCCGGATTTAGAAGATATTGGCGGTCGAGCACAAGTAAATAACGTGGTGCGTTCATTGATCTTGGTAATGCTCATCAAGTGGGTAGTCTCCAGGATGGGCCATGAATGTAATCGTCATCCAAAGGAGTTGGTGGACAGGAATACGACTTCCAAGCTGCCGCAAACGGCAATTGAGGGCCCCTGAGGCTCAGGGGTGGATATAGAGAGCATTGCGTCTTAATGGAGAGGCATTGGCGTGATTAAAATAGAAGGTTGTAGTGACTGAGCCGTGTATCCCGGCAAGTAGTATAGCAGATGACCGTTTGCGGTTAGGTCTAGGTCGATGGCACGTGCTTCCCTTGGGCAGCTCGATATCATATGACCAGTCATGTGCGGTAAGATAGGGCTTAGGCCTTAGGGCTTCCTGGGCGGAAGCGCGTCCGGCGCGCGTCCAGTCGCGTTAATGACCCGATACGATATTCAGTATACTCCACTATACGGAGACAAGTTCAACGTACATACAGAATCCAAAGCACACAAAAATGCCTCATTCCGTGTCTCCCGGGGAGTTCCCTAGTCATCGCAATGATGAGGAAGTCCTTCCGGATGCCCCTCCAACAGATGCGACGCCCAATGTCCCGGAAGATAAGGAGCCCGAAGCCACTGGAAACGATACGAAAGACAAGCTTGCAGGCCTACTATTCGATGACGACGATGACGATGAATTTCCTGCATCTAGTGCGGCAGACACAAGAAATGAGAGCTCAACTAATCGAGATGCAGTAGAGTAAGTACCCGTCACCCGATAGATAGAAAGCCAGTCTAACAAAAGTTGTACAGCTCCTCTGCACCGCAACCCACTCACGTAGACACAGATACTATGCTTGCCTTCTACCAGCGACTTTTCCCATTCCGTTACCTTTTCCAATGGCTGAACCACGGAGTCGTTCCTTCGCCAGACTTTGGAAACCGTGAGTTCGCGCTTACCCTGCAGAATGACGCCTACCTACGATATCAATCATATGCGACAGCAGATCTGTAAGTGGACGAGCCAAGGCAGCCTCTGGGAAGAAGCACATCACTGACACCCTCCTAGCTTCCGTAAAGACATCTTGCGCATGAACCCGTCTCGTTTCGAAATCGGTCCCGTCTACAATACAAACCCCCGCGATCGGAAAACTCTACGAGGGGGTCAGATGAAACCAATTGCTAAGGAATTAGTGTTCGATATCGATTTGACGGATTATGACGATATCCGATCATGTTGTGAAAAGGCGAATATCTGTGAGAAATGCTGGGCATTTGTAACCATGGCCATAAAAGTTGTCGACACAGCGTTGCGGGACGATTTTGGATTCCAACACATCTTATGGGTTTACTCTGGTCGTCGTGGTGCCCACGCCTGGGTCTGTGATCCCCGTGCTCGCAGCCTCCCCGATGATCGGCGACGGGCCATTGCAGGATATCTCGATCTCGTGCGAGGAGGGGCACAGAGCGGCAAGCGTGTCAATCTGAAGCGTCCGCTGCATCCGCATATGGCCCGTAGCCTGGAAATCCTGAAGCCTTACTTCGCCCAGACTACCTTAGTAGACCAGGACACCTTTGTCAGCTCGGAGAAGGCGCAACGTCTCCTAGCACTACTTCCTGACAAGGCCTTGAATGATGCCTTGCGCAAGAAATGGGAGTCGTCACCAGACCGCCCTAGTACGAGCAAATGGGCCGACATTGACTCGCTCGCAAAGACTGGGAAGAGCGGTACTCTGAACACTTCTACATTACGTGACGCGAAGCAGGATATTGTGTTGGAGTACACTTATCCACGCCTTGATTCTGAAGTCAGTAAGAAAATGATTCACTTGCTCAAGAGCCCGTTCGTCATACATCCTGGCACAGGTCGCGTTTGTGTGCCCATTGATGCTCGAAAGGCCGAGCAGTTTGACCCTCTTTCAGTTCCCACGGTCACACAACTACTGGGGGAGATTGATACGTATGATGCAGAGAACCCCAGTAATGGCGCAGGCACAGACGCTGTGGATGGGGAGGGAAGCGTGCCCAACGACTCTGATGTCAGGGGAAGCCGCAAACTGCAGGATTATGAGAAAACGAGCCTCAAGCCATATGTTGATTATTTCCGCTCGTTCATTGCCGGTCTTCTCAAGGAGGAACGCGGTGGGAAGCGGGAACGAAACGACGATACGACGGAGGTGAAGACTGAAAGCATGGAGTTTTAAACCCTTACATCGACCTGCTGTTGGTCTTCTACCGAGAATTTCTTGTACTTTTCAAGCGGTTTTGGAGTATACATGCTTTAAGGCAGGGTTGGGATGCATAAGGCGTTTTGGTGTTGTCACAGGATTACTTCAAGGCACAGGCATGATTATAAATTTCGCCTCACGATCTATTAATCAGGTAGATGAATGGTGAACATGAGACCATCATTCTAGAGCTGGTTGTACTTTTCGCTCCTGAATCTAGGTAATCTTTCAAGCATGATTTCACACTGTAACTCTGTAAACACTAGGGCGTTTTAGGATGTAGTTTTGAATATAATACATTTAGATGCTGGATTCGTTTCTATATTGATACACGTGCACACTGCCTAGCAAATATGGTCATAGCGACTTGCAGGGACAGACGTCAAGCTAACATGGCAGGAAGTGATAGTAAACTCCCTCACAAAAAGATCACGAGAAAAGTCGAAAGGTAGGATTATAATTATGAGTAGGGATATGGCCAATGCATCTTTATAGACGCACTAATGCATCATTGATCCGCATTTAAGCGGAGATGAAGTTCTTGACGTCTAAAAGTTCCACTGTTAGATATAGATACTGATGTCTCAGGAGTTGCGGTAACTTACTCTCAAGCCAACGAACGTATTCCTTCTGCTCCTTCACCTGGATGTAGTCAGGAATCATGTTGGCCAGCTCTGCGTTGATGCCTCTCTCCTCGAGGAAACGTTCCAAGAAGGTCTGCAGATCCTCATCGAGGTTCTCGAAGGGAGGTCCGGCGTAGAGGCTCTGTCTAGCCCAGTCCTTCTCAGCGGTCTGGGCATGTGCCAAGTCAGGCTTAGAGAAGTAGGAGACCTCCTCAATCTGGAAGAGACCATCCTGGGCAACAGTTTGGATCAGCATAGCGCCGTTGCTAGGCTTCTCAACGGTGATGTTGACGCGGGCAGGGAAGCTGGGCTCCAAGTCACGGTCCAACTCATCCAGTTCGCGATCAGCCGGGGCAGCCTCAGAGTTGCCAGCGGCACCCTTGTTAGCAGGCTGGTGGCCGGCCTCAAAGTCCAGCTCGTCGCTCAAGGCCTGGTCGTCGAATTCCTCTTGCTCGCTCAAGTTCTGAAGATCCGCAACGGTGAAGGTGAGACGAATCCTACCGTGTGGAGTTCATTAGAATAGTGTACAACAAAAATGGGAAGTGGAAACCCAAGCACTTACTCCTCATTGCCGAACTTCTTCGTCAACACAACTTCCTGGTCACCGGGGACATCCTTGACCTGCAAGCAGACATGAATCAGCCTTGGTTGATGCGAGACATTTGATTCGATGCACTTACCTCCCAGGAGTTGTTCTGAAGAACGTACTGGATATTCTGGACGGAAGAATCCAGATCCTCAAGACCGGAAGCCTTCTCATGCTTCAATTCATCCTCAAGCTTGGCAACAAGTTCAAAATCACCTGCAGATGGAAGTCGCTGTCAGCGCAATCAAGAAACGAGTATCACATCGTGCCATAAGCCTCGAGGTTTTCTTTGATCCTTTTTCTTGTGATTTGTTCTCCAGAATTGGGAGAGATTATCCATTTATATTCATCTTACCTTCAGCTTGGGACTGCTTGAATACGCTGGAAGTGGAGAAAGCAGCGTAGGAGGGCTTCAGGGCAGATTGCAGAATGACATTTTTAGGAACAACCGGGACAGGTCGGAAGAGAGCAGAGCGAGAAGAGGTGGCAATGGAGCGGGAGATAGTGCGAGGCACGGAGCGGGCGATGGTGCGTAGCGACAACATAATGAATTGTGAGGTTTAGATGGATGCAAAGGATGTTGGGTTGGAGGAGATTTTCAATGAAAGTTTGGGAGGTGACGAACAGGAAACTGAACTGATGATGTTACCGCTGCCAAGAACAAGCTCGGGAGCTCTGGCACTTGCAGCCTGAGGCAGTGATCCTTGCCGCCTCAACAACAACGGAAGAGCAGCGGTGACCTGTACATAGTAATATACCAACAGGTCCATTGAATCTGAGATTGTTTAACATTGCATTCCTCTCGGTGACTGGAAGCAACTCCGACAATATCTGATCCTTCTTCACTCTGTGTTCATCTACAGGCGGTAGACCATAATCCACTGAGCGTCTCGCACCGCAGAACTGAGAAATATATTATATGATCGTTGATACAACTGGTAGCAACAAAGACACTAGGATTCAAAAACAGTTAAAAATATGAACAAAAACGTCGCGGGATACCCAGAGAACAGACAGAGAGGACCACTTGAATGCTTCTAACAAAGTATGTCCTAAAGATCAAAGCCTGCAGTGGTCATGGCCAAAGACCTTCGAGTTTAATGAGATTACATCATGAGAAAAGCTAGGAGTTGGAAGATGACCGCTGCCGGTGTTTCTGCGGTGAACCCGATCGTGCCATTGCTGTTATTATGTTTAATTTTTATACTACAGGTAATAAACTGGCGGCGATGTGAAATGCCGTCGCAGATGCATAGCAGACGTTTTTGTTGATGTGCTTTTGTAGCTAAACCTTGAAACATACTAACGAACATCAAGATGCTGGTATATACGATCGTCAACGCCATTATGTGCCAAAACCAATGTGAGCAACGCGGTCTTAAAACAATCCCATAACTAAAGTTCACGACATCCCTTTAGGAGGAAAAGCTGAAGACTGCTTCCCACCATCCTTGGTCAAGCGAATGAACTTCATGCTGCTGAGTCCGGACCAATCTCCATTCCATGAGGCAAGGGACTTGATTACATCTTGCTCGCTAAGATCGGGCAGCCAGAAACCAGTCTTGAACTCTTTATTCTCCGCGTCTGTTCGCTGTAGGAGGTTTTCCTCCCGTTTGCTAGGGGGTCGGCCTTTCCGCCGCTCACTCTGTAATTGCTCGATTTCAGGGACACTTCGGTTGATGTATCTATGCCCGCCAGTGTTAATGCGTATGAAACATCGGACAATCGCTATGGGGCCTTCTGCTTCAACTGACCTAACAATTAAATTCATCATGTCACTATCCGAAAAGACGCCTGCATCCTCCGGGACATTCTCGTGGAAGTATACAATCCGGTCAACTAGGGGAAACATTAGAAAAGTCCGGTAGACACCAGAGATACCTTTCTGAAAACATACTGTATGACTGCCGTCCCCGGGCCAGTGTGGCAGAGACACGAGCAACCCGATCGTCTCTAATGCCTGCGCGGCGCAATCTCTTCGCATCTCTGCTGTTCTCATGGAGTGCGTCAACTACCCCTCGCTTTTTAGCGATATGCTTATGAACCTTCTGTAAAGATACCGGCATGGTGCGATCTTTAAATCTCTTGAATTTGAATGAAAACAAAAAGGAAGCAGTATAATGTTATTGCTGCGCACAGTAAGTTGCAGTCTAGAACCTTTGCTCGTCTTTTTTCTTTTTTTTTTTTCTCTAATCTCCGTGATCCTTATCGGCCGGCAGAATGATAGGGCGGTGATGGTGGAGGCAAACGCCGCCAACATCCAGCCAATCACGGCTTCCTCTGCATGCACTGGCCTATCGCGTTTCTGTTGCGCGTCGGAGGGTTGACACTGGCAGTCAACTTACATTCCAATCTCGTTGTCTAGGTCATACATAACTCAATGACCCGCTAAGGTGGTTGATTAGCTTCCAACCCCTATTTCTACGAAAGGTTCTCCCCATGGTTCTCGTGCCCACCGCGTCTCTCGTGTCCTAACCATCGACTGTCAGAGCTGTTGCCCGTTTTGGATGTTCAACTTGACAACCTAACGAGGAGCAGCTCGACTTTCGAAGGTTTCCACAATGGGCATTAAAGGTATGCCCAACTTCACATTGTCGTTTCCAGAGTGCTCAGAGAAGATTGACTAGTCAGCTAGGGCTCCATGGTCTTCTCAAGTCAATTCAAAAACCATGTCATTTAAAAAAGTTTAGCGGACAAACCCTTGGTATCGATGCATATGGATGGCTGCATCGTGGTACAGTCGCCTGCGCGGTGGACTTGGTCTTGGACCGGCCGACGACCAAGTATGTGGCTTTGTATAGGATATTGCTGGGGATTGGTGCTAATGTGACTGTAGACATGTCGATTTCGTGCTCAACCGCGTCCGCATGTTGCTTTATTTTGGGGTGACCCCATATCTTATCTTCGACGGTGACGATCTACCAAGTAAAGCCGGTACCGAGTCAGATCGACACCAACGGCGTCAGGAAAGCAAAACCCTTGGGTTGGAACTGCAACGGAAGGGGAGGACAGCAGAAGCGTATCAAGAGTTTCAGAAAGCAGTGGATGTGACCCCTTTAATGGCTCGTCAATTGATCGACGAGCTGAAAAAGATGGACGTTCAGTATGTGGTGGCTCCGTATGAGGCAGATGCACAACTCGTATACCTTGAGCGCCAGGGCATTATCAATGGTATCATATCAGAGGACTCTGATTTGCTAGTGTTCGGTGCCAAAAGATTGTTGTCCAAGCTAGATCAGCATGGCGACTGTATTGAGATTAACCGAGCAGACTTTACAGCTTGTCGCGAAGTCAGTCTTATAGGATGGACTGACGCCGACTTTAGGCGCATGTGTATCCTCAGCGGATGTGATTACCTACCAACATTGCCAGGCTGGGGCTGAAAACTGCCTACCGGTGTATTCGCAAATACAAGAATGTTGAGAAGGCGCTACGGATGCTTCAATTTGAGGGCCAGTACCATGTCCCCTCGAATTATCTGGAGAATTTCAAACAAGCGGAGCTCACCTTCCTTTACCAGAGAGTATTTTGCCCCCGAGCTGGAAAGCTCGTCACGCTGACTCCACCGGAAGATGATGTGAACCTGGAAGAATTACCGTACATCGGCGGTGATGTGGAGCCTGGGCTTGCAGTGGGAGTCGCTTGTGGTGACTTGGATCCAGCAACCAAAGAACCACTGGTCTTGAGGCCTGCTGCGGGCAAGGCCATGCCTGGCATCCAACGTCGCCAGACGCTCGGGTCATCCGCCGAACTGAAGCCAAACAAGCCCATCAGCTCGTTCTTCACTCCGAAACGGACTCCTTTAGCTGAGTTGGATCCAAATAGTCTCTCTCCGTCTCCCAGCCAGCAGAGGCTACTACAACGGCATGCCAATGCGTCATGGGAGAGCAGTCCGGTTACGCCCCGGCCGGGCATCGTCCGATCCGCGACTGTGAATAGGCTATCGAGCCCACTAGTTAGGAGTGTGGAGCGAAACTCTTTCCTGGCCCATGCCTCTAGAGCATCTACCTTGCAGCCCACCAAGCGGCAACGACTTTGTTCCGAAACGGACGAGGCCAACCTTCCAAGTCTTCCAGATTGCCGCAGCCGCTTCTTTGCTCACTCCCCGGGTGATTCAAGCCCGAGTGGTGTCAAGGTTACGCGAAGCAAAAAAGCACGGAAGTCAGCTGTGGATGTATTTTCTGATGAAGTAGCCGAGGGCATCATGACACAAATTGCAGGTTCGTCAGAGACTGCGAACCGTTGCAAGGACAAGCCTCAAACGCGGAATGAGCCTCGCGAAGGCGGCCATGAAGAAGCGACTCTACCAACAACATTTACCACATCGGAAGACCCGGCAATTGTGAAAGAGCAAGTCCTTGCAGACGAGAGACAGTTAAGTGCCGCAACTCCAAGTAAAGCTTCCGTTAGCGAGGACTCGAATCCGGAAGTGTCTCGTCAGGTCCTGGACGACAATATTGCCAAGCAAAGTTCTTCTCTGTTGTCTCAGTTTACTTTCCAAGCTGCGGAAGGGAATACTAGCCCCAACGTGGATACCTTGCAAACAAAAGATTCTCAAGCTCATCGACCGCTTATTTCTAGATCGCCCTCTAGGGTGAAAGCTGGGGTGGCCCGCAGTCCTTCTAGGCGGCAACGCTTGACACCTTTGCAACGGCTCGGCCAGACGGCACTGGCCCGGTCACGATCTCTGAACTTCACCCCTTCTCTTTCAACATCAAGTGCCCTGGGCAGGAACATCGAGGCAAGCACCTCCCAGGCAAACCCGATCCCTGCCACATGCCCCCCTGCTCAAGGAAGTGAAGACATGATTGTTCCCGATAGTGAAGAAGAGGATGTCGATGGTGACGAAACTAGTCACGCCCGGACGCCTGTTACATTCAGTCTTCAGCGCTTCTCATACACAAACCAGTGATTCTGGACATTATGCACCGCCACATCCATACAAATGGCATATATTTTGGTGTGTTGGCGTTTCTTGGCATTGTTATTATTCTGTTGGGTTTTTATCTGGATGAGATACACGGTGTTTTGTGAGGCATCGCATTATTCTATGTTATCTTTGGTTGTGTATACCCTACCTTGGACACTATTGGAGATAGACGATCGACGTCAGGACAGTTTGATTAATTTTCAGTCTATACCTTTGCAGTGATCGTCGGCATGAGACCTGGACAGAACCCACTGTAAGACGTAAATGGCAAAATGACGGAGGCTGGAAAGGGCCCATCAGGGATTAGGGCTGACGAGCCGTGTGGGGCCAAGGCTAAAGTTGAGCCGGGGCCAATCGCTGGTCCCTGATCAATCGTAGCGCCATCGGCGGGGCGGATCAGACCCAATGGGGCCTCGTGGGTCCCTCAGGCACAGTCGGCGGTGAGACCTGGTTACCGGGAAACCACCGGGTGTAAACAAAAGAACGATGCCCCAGCCTCCTCCATCGGGAGTATACTGTCCATTCCCAGCCACCACATTATCATCACCATCGTCACCCGTTACCTCAACTCTCGCTCGTTGTGTGGAAAAAGGAAAAGAAAAATTCGGGAGGCAGGCATTCATTTGCAAGAGTGGATTTGGCTAGCTACGATCTCTCCCCCCAATTCTCCCCTTCCCTCTTTCTCCCCTCTCCATTCCTTGTACACAGCTTTGCCTCTTTTTGGCACTAAGTTGTTGAATTCAAACCCCAGATCGGGACATAGCTTATCGGATTTTTAATTCGACTATCTGACACATCTTTTACACCGTCCAGGCTCGTGAGCGCCGCGGCCCAAAGCAGACATACATTCCTTGGATTTCGCCGCCAGTATTCCATTCGTCAAGGGATCGTTCCTCGAGCTCGTGCCCGCAAACCCACATTCCATACCCACGTCAAGACCTGCAGGACCCTCCGACCTTCTTCGATCACTTTCTTCAGACATAGAGTTTCGCAGCTTGGACTGACAACCGAGACTGTCGCGCGATAAAACCGCTTGATCGGGCCGCAGAACCGAGGGACCAGCGCTTTCAGACATAGTGCGCAAAGAAGCGCTCTTCCAACACTCCTTCTCGGGGTCCCGAGAAGAGAGTCATACAGACGGCGGTGTGAAGTATTCAACTGGTATAAGCCTGGCTGAGATTTGACCGGTCGACATGGCGTCCAATTTCAAGGCCAAGATGGCCCGTATGTGACCTTCAAGTCGTTGAAGCGGTGGTGTTCGTGTATACTGATTGTCTGTGTCGTTATAGGTTTCATTCCCATGATCGGTTACCATCACGTGCTTATGATAATCATTGCAGTTACCATTATTCTTCTCTGTAAGCTACCTACATGTCTTGCTGCCACCTCTGGAGTGCAACTGACGGTATTAGCCCTCTTATTGGCCGGATGCTCGTCGTCCTCTCCACAAATGCCCAGCATATTCTTGATCTCTCTCTATTATCAACGCTACGACCCCGTCTTTAATCTTGCCCAAGTGGACCCTGGCGTAGTGCAAGCAACAGCGAACATTGTCGGAGGAGCGCAGATGGAAGTCCGTGTGGGGTACTTCGGAATCTGCGTATCGCCATCAGGAGGCGCCTACATATGCAATTCAAATGCGACGGCCCTGGCTGAGGTCGTCACTGTTGACCAAGATCCGCTGAACCTGATTTGGGTAGCATCGACGTTTAAGGATGCTGTGGTCTTCCCCTATCTCCTGTGTGTTTCCCAGCATGCTTTTTATCGATGAATAGGTTGACTAACTTGTACAGAATCGTTGCCGTTATCCTCGCATTTTTCTGCTTCATCCTGCTGGCTACTTTCCCTGGATGGCACGAAGAAATTGACTCGAGCGGCTCTGAGCGTGAGGTGAAGCCGTTCCCTTCCCGGCCCGTGTCCCAGGCCGCGTTGGCTCTAATTTTCGTGGCATCCGTTTTTGTGCTGGTCTCGGTCCTATGGCAGCACACTGCGTCCGTCGCCGCAAGCACCATTGCCCAAGACATGGGCAACGGCAGTGTCAAGAGTGGTGTAGGCAGCTCTGCGATGGTTCTCGGATGGTTTGGATTTGGCTTGATGGTGGTGACGACGATAGGCTTGCTGGTGATGATTCTCAGCATCAAGCTGATACGGCAGTTGACGGATGAAGAATAATCTACATGATATGGGAGGGACATACTCGGTTTCAGCTTTTGTTTCTTTTTTGCCCTTTCGTTTCCTTTTGTTTTCGACCTCATACATGACGCACTTTCCGACGGCACGAACGACGCACGATTAATACGACATTGAATTCTGAACTCACGACGATAATGAACAAAATCAATCAACACCCCTATCACACCCCTTCGCGAGACCGTTCCCTGCTGGTCGATCTACCTGTACATTCGCCCTGTTTGCACTTTGTCCGTTGATGGTTTACGTCATGTATAAAAGACGATTTTTCTTTTTATTGAATTGGGATGGGATGGGACAAGGGATTGGGAACTTTTTTTTACATGGAATACCTCGTTTGGATTTTTGTCAATGATTGCCCGACTGATTTGAACACCATTTTTGTTTCTTTGATCATAATACAACCGCTCGCATATAGATTAGCTGCAGCTCCGGACATGAAAGAAATATCTTCATGATAAAACGCATTTCATCGCATCCACATACGTAAACCACAGTAAAGGTACGACAGTATATATACAACATCCAAGCCGAACAGCCAGAACATAGAAATCAAATATCATGCCTAGCAAATTTACTCGCCATCCTCAACCGCCTACCATATCTCAGCAAAACAAACGGATATGGCACGAACAAGAGAGTCAAGCACCCGAGCAGGGTACACGCCCAGCCCACGCCCAGGTTATGAAACATCGCCGTCGCAAACAAGGGAAAGCCGGCGCCAAACGACGAGCGCATAAAATCATTGCCCGCCAACACGGACGCCGCATACCTGGGGTACGCATGAGCCTGGTAACAAAAGATGCCGTTGAAGATCAGGCAGCCGCCGACGGCGAAAAACATCGACGCAATGATGGGCACGATCCAATGCACGCTGGCGAAGTTGCCCGTCCACCCGAACCAGAACAGCGAGATCGGGAGCGCGAACGCCCCCACGACCGTCGGCGGCAGCTGGTGCTCCGGCGCGATGTTCCAGTTCGCGTCGAAGTGTCGCACCTGGTACTTCGCTTTCCAGATGAAATAGCCTGTTATCGCGAGGAATGTCCCGACCAGGATCCCCAGGAAGGCGAGCCCCGTTTGCCCCGCGTTGAAGCCGTGGATCTCGCTGAACACGATCGGGAAGGCTTCGAACCAGATGTAGAGGATGCCGTAGATGAGCGAGATGTATAGGTTGAGGAAGAGGACGATGGGTTCCAGGAAGCAGAGTTGGAAGGGCCGGATGGCGGCTTCGAAGAGGACGTCCTATTTGGGTTTTTGTTTGTTAGGGTTTGAGGTTACGGGTTAGGGTTATGTGTATTGGTTGGGTTGGATTGGGGGTAGGTGTTATTGTTGTTGTTGTTGTTGTTGTTTGCTACTACTACTACTTACTTTAGGCCGGACCTGGCTGAGCTCGATCTCCGCTTCGCATTTGTAGTTCGAGTTCCCTGTGATCTTCCGCACGCGGCGTGCTCGTCGCCAGAGAATATTGGGCGTGAAGGTTTCCGGGAGGAAGAAGAACAGCAGGACGAGGGCGAACCCGCTAACCCAGAGCAGCTGCCAGATCGTCCAGGTCCATCCTTTCGCGGAAGCAGCGAAGCCGCCGACCAGAGGTCCCAGGACGGGCGCTGAGATGGCGAAACAGCCCCAGATCGCGATCATGTAGTCGCGCACTTTCGGGTTCCACATGTCGCCCATGGATGCTCCGCCGGTGGCCAGGGCGGGCGAGCCGATAAAGCCGGTCAGGAACCGGAAGGCCAGGAGCATGCCGAAGTTCTTTGCGTAGATGACGGCGAACTGGAAGAAGACGAAAACGACGAGCGTGAGGAGGTAGGTAGGGTTTCGGCCTACGGTTGGGAGCTCTGACAGAGGGGACCAGATCATTGGACCTGGGGGAGCGGTCAGTGTGCTGTTTGATGCGTCTATGGTCAGTTATCAATGGATGGAGACGTACCTAGGCCATATCCCAACACGAATAGCGTCAGGCCGAGTGTGGCGGCGACTCTACTTACGCCGAACTGTTCCGAGACGCCTTCGATTCCTGGGGTATAGATCGCCGACCCGATGTAGATGGCAAAGGTCAGCAGCCAGATCTGGCTACTTACGAGGAGCTTTTTGGTTGTGCTCCAGTTCTGGGGGTTCTATAGTCATGTGTGTTAGTAAGTACTTGAATGGTGGGGAGGAAAGTCTGTAGATGTACCTCAGGATCATCGGGCCCACGCCAGTCAACCAGAAGCGGTGTTCCTCCACTGACCCCAGCGGTTGACGCTATTGAGTTCAGACGGCGCGACGCTCGTGACGCCTGTGACATGACGGCGTAGAGACCGAACGTGTCGTCCTCGGTGTCCGCCAACGTCGCTGCTTCTTCATCTTTGACCCTGGGCTCCGGCTTCAAGCATTCCGTCCAAAGAGCCGGATCGATCTCCTCGGGGTATCGTAGCCATCGGTTCCTCGTAAAGATGCGCACGAGCTTTCCAAATGCTGAATCACGGATGGTCTCCATCGTTAGGGCTCTTCCGATGCAGCCCTGGGTGTTGATCATCACATCCTCATTGTACGGCTCTGCCAGAATAAGTTTATATATTACATTGGTGGCAATTATTGGAGCGTCATGTAACTTAAGATTTTCTATGAACTTTCAAAGCAGGCTTAATTGATCCAGATTTTTGTCAACGATACGTACTGCTGGGTGTATGGCCGTAAATCCGTAGATCCGGGAGACGTCATACTCTAGCGGATGGAACCACAAGTCGAGTTGATGTCATGACTATCAGAACCCTACTCAATCACGCTGCTTGGGAAGGTCATCGTGGGTCTTGCTATTCCCCACAGTATGTCTGGACCAACCGCTTGGAAGAACGCTGGACATGGCGATTATAAAGCTCTCTCGCCATTAACTAAGTTAACTAACTAACTAATGAAGGCTTACCAAGCAGTGTTAACCATGGACGTAGCCCAAAGTATGACGGTTCTCCGTTGTTGCTGATGAATATCATCATATATCTGATCTTCCACAGAGGTCTATCTCGTCGATTAGCGTGATGATCTCTGTTCTCAATGACTCTGGGAGGGGAGACATTGAATGCGCAGTTCAAAGCCGTTGAAATGAAATTACTATCAATTTGTCTAGCTAATAAGAGCAAGACAGTACACATAGGTTCAATGATACTAACAAGTCAACCGAGACAGGTGAATCAAGAAGACATCAGGGCAGATGGAGAGTGTTGAAGAGGCGAGTTCCAGTATCCGTGGCCCCCGTTCCCTTGTACTTGTTCTTCGAAATCCTTAGGGTTATGAAATGGAGATTTCTGTGCTTCGTAAGGGCAGGAGTGAGCCTGCCCCCCGAAACACAATCTGCGTGTATCACGCTAGTGACAACAATAATAGGAACGTCATTTTCAAAGTCCCTAATCTGCTGCAGGTACTTCAGAATTGCTTTGCCTGTATTAACCACTGAGTCTACGAGAATGACAGCAAACGTGCCTTTCAAAAGGTCGTGTTGAAGATCAGCGGGCTATTTGGCGTGGACGAACATGGCCCGCTGAAATGCATTGCTGACCCCGAATGCCATGGGCTCGCCTCCCCTCATTAACGCTACGATCAAGATCTTGTCCTCCTTCCAGAGTTGATAGCCGGTAGTATTATGCCCTTGTGGGTGGGGAGTATCAATTTCCTCCGCTCCAATGAGCGTAGGCAAAAAGGTTTTGGCTAGATACCAGCCCGCCTCACTGTGTGCCTCCCTCAAACGTGGTCCTTGCACGTTAGCATCTCGCAAGGGCGTCATCAGAATCTTGACGGCATCTGGGTTCAATTTCTCAGCGCTGATGACATTCAGTTTCGTGCCGTCTGAAAGAAGGGAATCAACAAAGGTAGGGTCGAGAAGTTTGACTTCAGGAAGAATCTCCTTGGTAAGGCGAGGTGATACAGAAGCCGGTCGAAGACATTGTTCTGCCTTCAGCCCATCGTTCTCGATTGCTTGTTTCAAGGCTTTGTCCATGGACCGACTTCTCGTTGCTTCGTCTCCCACAACAACAAGGGCCTTGTCAGCTTTACAGAGCATCTTGAGGTCAAGAGGACCGTCTCCAAATGCCCAAACTTCGAGACAGTGCTGCTTCTTCAAATGATCAACCAATGCTTCCTTCACCTCTGGGGTCACAACAAAACCATCGCTGTGGCGGCCACCTCCAATGACGGAAACCTTGCCCTGCAAACCTTCCATTTCCAGCGCATATTTCCAGATGAGAGCCAGGCCACAGGTCACGACCACTGCAGCGACGTGATTCTGGTCCGCGATGCGGTGCAGAAGAGTAACGAATTCCTCGTCCATAGTTATAGACCTGGCAACCTCCCGGCAAACAAAGTCATATTGATTATCGCGAAGCTTTTCATGAAGAAGAGTGACCTGCCGGAAGGCATTGTATGTGTAGCCCAGAGGACTCTCAAATACAGCCCGCGCGGGTGTCTTCGACCAGTCTCCGTCTGCATATCCCAAGAGTGGGGGGAAAATCTTCCAAAACAGGGCGCCTGTGTCTTGTGAAGTCAACGTACGGTCTGCATCAAGTACGATCATCCGTTGCAGGGTACCACTTTGTATGGCAGGGATGCTGTCCAGGGCGTGGAGGGCGTTGGAAAGGTTGTGTCGTTCGTCATGTTTGCTGAAATCATGGAGGAAGTTCTCAACATCCTTGGCCATCATACTAGGAGACACCGAACAGAAAAGAATATTATTGCTGTAGCAAAGGCCGCGCAGCATTTGCTTCTCAGCTTCCACCCAGCGCCGCACATGGGGGATTAAGACGTGCGAGCGATCTCTGCCAGGATCATCGAGACGGCACTTGACGATTTCCTCAGGAGGTACGTCAAGGTAAATGATATGGGCGTAGGTATCTAGATCGCTCTGTGTATACACAGCCGACCCAGACTCTTTCTCTTCGTTCCAGAACATGAGTTGGCCGGTGACTATACCGGCTTTATCGTACGCTAGACAATTATGTCTGATACAGTTTATGGCGAGTTCACGAAAGACCTGACGCGCTTTTGTCATCCAACTGTTTGAACGATTCTATACCTTCACAAACAAGCTTGCCAAACTCCTCGCTGCCCTCGAAGTACATGAAGTGGTCCTCGCCGAGAGCCATTCTGAGCTGGTTGAGCAAGGTTGTCTTTCTAGCACCTGGGATACCATAGATGCCCACCACCACGGGCTTCGCAAGGGAAGAAGAACTCTGCGCCAGGGTACTCCGGCCACGAAAGTTGAAGAAGTATACTGGGTTACACTGCGAATGTTCAGAGCAAGACTTGAAGAGCGAACCAATCTAGCAAGAGAGGCATAACAACCACCACCAAGAGATGAAAGGTACTTGTATATGAGAAGAACATGCCCTTTATATAGACAACTAGACAGACGCCAGGTGGTATGGGATCAGCGGTAACGTTACGCTGGCTATGTCCGGGTGATTCTATATATTTTCATTCACATCCGGGCAATTTGCCGCACTGCAACCAATATAATAGACAGCTCAGGGATTGGATGCTTGAGGCATGGGCGGAGCTGTGAGGCTCATTGTTTGTATAATGGGAAAGGCCCCCTGAGCCAATGACAGTCCCCTTTCATCGTGCAATAGAGCAAACAGACAATGTGAGATAGTGGATACATTCATTCTTAAGACCATTGGATGGCTAACCTGCTTTTTTCTAATTAGGTCCCATGGTTGCCATGCGGCTGCGCACAGATCAGATGATAAACTGGATTCGATGAGTAACAATGCGATGGAACTGATAGCCTAGATGGTGATAGGCTGTCTGGGAAAGTCGGATGGGGCTACAGCATGCTTGATTTCTAGTCAACTAAGGCGAAAAAGGTACATGGTTCTCTATGATTATCAATGCAAGGTGTATCTACGGAGCCTTCTGTATATAGCAAAACTAGGCCATGTCTTACATGACAGGCATGATTGAGCGTTCTTGGACTTATCCACTGTCAGTTGTCGAAAATTTCAAACATACTGTAGAAAACATGTCCCAGTACAGCTCATAGGTCTTACGGGTTTATCGTAGGTCCTATAAGCTTGAATGTAAACAATATGTGAAAAGAATTTCTAAGCCTAAAAACAAAAGAGAGCGTCAAAAAACAAAACTGCCACCGACCGACCCCAGCGGACTAAATCCCCTGGTCAGTCTTGCAAAGACCTGAGTATGTTATGCAGTGATGGAATTAAGTGATGACTTATGAACCAGTATGAAATAAGAAAGGTATCTTGTAGAGTATGCGATTGGGGTTATCTCGTAGAACATTTTCCGTGGAATAGGAAGCAGCTTAAAACAGTCCAGCAGAAACAGACATAATATACATAGGGAAACTCATATTAGAACAGCTTAGCAGATTTCGCCTCATACGGGTCGGGATCCATCGATGGAGGTGTGAGATGAACCGGGAAACTAAACTCCAATATCGTCGTCCTGAACTATTGTTGGTAAGACAAGTTAGCTTAACCCAAACCAAGTGGTGTTTCTTCCTACCTTAGAGTAGCCACATTGCAGGCCTAGTCTGACTTCGAGCGTATATGTTTGACTGATATTGCAGGTCTCAAACGACGGTGTGAGCGCGATTGGTAGTCGATGTTTGTTCCAGAGACTATCCCCAATACATAATTCAGCCCCATGTAGGGCCCGATCATGGCTGACAACGTGATGGATGTTCGACATGGTTTGTATGACCTGGAAGTGTGTGTCTTTCTCGACAAGCCCAGAGGCATGCGTCTCCGTTGATCCCACGAGCATGGTCTGGAAGTCATTCAACCATACGAAGCATTCTCTGTCTCCGACCTTGGTGAGCTTGATCTTCAGTGGAATAGGATAGCCTAGAAGTAAGCACTGTCCGTTCAGCAGTTCGACGTCAACCTGGTATGCCAGTGGGCTGCAGGATCCGACAGAATCATGGCTGATGGGGAGAAGACATCTTCTTCCTAGTATGCTTTTTGGAAGGCTAAAGCCGTGCACGGGGTAGAAAAGGATATTGCGAGTCTGCCAGAGAATACCGCGGTTAGTATGGTGTTCAAGTTCCGTTTCGCATATCCAGGCTACTCAACTAATTTCTCCACCCCTTTTAAGATACCAGTCTTTGTCACAGTTACGTCCAGGAAGTATCTGACCTCCCAAGCCGATAGGGTGTCGCCCGTCGAGGGTGGAAGCTTTCGTAGAAGATGGTGGGTTTTGTTCTTCCGATGGAGAAACCCCGTGCATGATTGGTTTGGTTTGCTCTCATCTAGACTGATTTTATGGCATTCAGATGTTGAAGGAAACTAGATAAATGCACAGCATGCATAAGTAAACGTGCCAGAGATCTGCATGCTGCAAGGGGTCGTGGAACCTACCGTGAGGGAGAACGGAAAGACGTGTGTCCCACAGCCGACAGTTAGACTTCTGGAACCGGGCATCTCTGCCATCTTCTGAGGTGGGAAAACATTTTGAACCCTTTGGAATAACTACATATGACGATGTTAAGAGACGACTGACACTTCTGATGCTCGGTCGACATACCTGATGGGACTCGATATATTTCCCAGAATTTAGTCGCGACGTTGCTATCCCAAACAACTTGACTATAATTGTTGAGATATTCACCGGCGCCTTGTTACGGAGGACTAGCTGGCCAGACACAGTGTCTTTTTCTGTGTAGGCTCCCCATTCCTGATCGAGTCGTACTTGAAGATCCATTCCCGCTTTTCAGTCAAGTAATCCGAAATGTGCTGGGCACTTGATAAGGAGAAGCCAAGGTGCTAAAGTCCGGGCAATCAGGATGTGTTTCTTGGTCCGGTACCTGACTTGGTAGGGCTGGGAGTCTGTACTTATGATCCTGGACAGTGATGCTTGTATCAACGGTTTACATAAATGAATACGAAGCACATATAGTATCGAACGCCGAGCTGACATGAAATTTCCATGACCGAACTGTCCTTATTACTACACCAATATCACCTCTTCCGGGGAACTGAGGCTGCGCTCGGGGAACCAAGTAGCGAGCAGTTTCAGCCGGCCTGCGACGCTCAAAGAATTTTTCGTTCCTCATCGCTCGGTGGAAAACGTGGTGGAAAAGCCGGGGCTCGGAAAATGAAGCGTATCGCCGACTATTTTTATCTGCTTCCAGAAATGATTCTCATCGCGGCCCCACACTGCCGTTCGTCGAGCCCTAAATACACCCGCACCTTTGCTCATGGATTGTCAGTAGTAGTAGCAGCCAATTTACTGGTCCACGGAGCGCGCATTATGGACGCTATTGTTTCGTAGAGAAAGTCCCTTCTTGGCCTAGCTTGCCTCCGGGTAGGCTGGTGCTGGAGATATAGAGAACTTTTCGAAGTTAGAACCTGTGTAATTAAATGACACTCAGACTTTTGTCTGCGACTTCACGGGAAACCAACCAAACCATGGATAACCAGTTTAGATCAGATCAATCGGTGTCGGTATATTCCCAAGACTCTACGGAGAATAGTCCGCCACTGGGGAAAGGTCGCTCGCCTAATGTGAGTTTCAACCATAGGGGGATGGGGTGAGGTCTGCTCGAAGATGTGACGGCCTTCTGACACGCGATTGTTTCGCAGGAAAGATATGATCGCGAAGACCGATTATACCATGGAGAACACGCAGAGTCGTTGCTCCATTCGGTCCCTTTAGGCCCTTCTTATCCGGCCTACGAACCTGAATCGCACCCCGAACAGCTCTCTCTACGAAGCCCTAGTACGAAGCGGCAATCGAGTCATCCACGAAGTCCTCAGTCAATAAGCAGAGATCCGTTTGCCTCGTTTCCAACCGTCGCACACTCAGACGACGGTTCAACACCGGACTCGTGGCGACAGCGACAAACTCCAGCCCCCAGTGCCCTTCGTCGATACCCTACCCGAAAGATTAACCTGATCCAAGGCAGCGTCCTGAGCGTAGATTATCCAGTGCCCAGCGCTATTCGGAACGCTATCCAGCCACAATACCGTGACGCTGGGGAAGGCTTCACTGAAGAGTTTACACATCTTCGATGTAAGCATCCAGGTCAAAGCAATCTGCAAAAGCTAACCCGATTACAGATACAGCAGCCACCTGCGACCCTGACGAGTTCACCCTACGCAATGGATACAACCTACGGCCTTCCATGTACAACAGGTCTACGGAGTTGCTCATCGCCATTACCTACTATAACGAGGATAAAGTGCTGACGGCGCGGACCCTGCACGGCGTAATGCAAAATATTCGGGATATCGTCAATCTCAAGAAAACGGAATTCTGGAATAAGGGAGGGCCAGCCTGGCAGAAGATTGTCGTTTGTCTTGTCTTCGATGGCATTGACCCTTGCGATAAGAATACGCTTGACGTCCTGGCCACTGTGGGCATCTATCAGGACGGAGTCATGAAGCACGATGTCGATGGGAGGGAGACTGTGGCTCACATTGTTCGTGACTCTTCCCGCATTACAATTGACCTTTCTTATTTGCTGATGGCTATTAGTTTGAATACACAACCCAACTATCGATCACGCCTGCGCAACAGTTGGTTCGCCCGCATGGCGACGAGCCCACCAATTTGCCACCGGTTCAGACGATATTTTGCCTGAAGCAGAAGAATAGCAAAAAGATCAACTCCCACCGATGGCTCTTCAATGCGTTTGGCCGACTGCTAAACCCTGAGGTTGTTATCTTGATCGATGCCGGCACGAAGCCGGGACATAAATCTCTCCTTGCCCTTTGGGAAGCATTTTATAATAACAAGAACCTCGGGGGAGCGTGTGGTGAGATCCATGCGCTGCTCGGCCCACGCTGGGAGAAGCTCGTGAATCCTCTAGTGGCTGCGCAGAACTTTGAATATAAGATCTCGAATATCTTGGACAAGCCTTTGGAAAGCGCTTTTGGCTATGTGAGTGTTCTCCCCGGCGCATTCTCTGCTTATCGGTACCGGGCTATCATGGGCCGGCCGTTAGAGCAGTACTTCCATGGGGATCATACGCTGTCTTCAAAGCTAGGCAAGAAAGGGATTGAAGGCATGAATATATTCAAGAAGAATATGTTCCTGGCTGAGGATCGCATTCTGTGTTTTGAGCTCGTCGCGAAGGCAGGCTCTCGATGGACGTTAACCTACGTGAAAGCGTCAAAAGGGGAAACCGACGTCCCAGAAGGTAGGACGGCAGGAATGTAGTCTGATACCACCATGTGCGAGTGCTGATTTCGATAGGTGCCGCAGAATTTCTGAGCCAAAGACGGCGTTGGCTCAACGGCTCCTTCGCGGCAAGTTTATACTCGGTCATGCATTTCAATCGCATCTATAAGAGCGGCCACAACCTCATTCGCCTCGTTGCTTTTCACGTCCAGTTACTTTACAACATCTGCCAGCTCATCATGACGTGGTTCTCCCTCGGTAAGTCAATGATACCAGACGCTTGACACTATCATGAGGGCTAACTTGCTGCAGCATCCTACTGGCTGACCAATTCTGTGATCATGGATATTGTGGGAACACCAAGCGCAACAAACAAAAACAAGGGCTGGCCATTTGGCAATGACGCGACTCCTGTCGTTAACAACATCGTCAAGATCACTTATCTTGCCTTCCTCATGCTCCAGTACATCCTTGCTCTCGGCAATCGACCGAAGGGGTAAGAACTGATTCCGTGTTGCATGCACCGGGTCGTTCAGTCAGTGAAACTAACCATAAGCCACTAGATCGAAAACCGCGTATACGCTATCCTTCATCTACTTCTCCGTCGTCCAACTCTACATTCTGGTTTTATCATTTTATCTAGTCGCACAGGCATTCAGCGGGGGGAATATAGACCTCAACTTGGACGACGGGGTTGCCGGTTTCATCGGATCGTTCTTCACCTCCACCAGCGGACTCGTGTTGATCGCATTGGTTTCGACATACGGGGTCTATTTCATATCCAGCATTCTCTACCTCGACCCCTGGCACATGCTCACATCCTCATGGGCGTATTTCCTCGGGATGCCCTCCTCCATTAACGTCTTGATGGTCTACGCCTTCTGCAACTGGCACGACGTATCATGGGGCACCAAGGGATCCGACCAAGCAGGCTCCCTCCCATCAGCTCAGACGAAAAAGGCCGACGCAAAGACGAACTTCGTCGAAGAGCTGGACAAACCGCAAGCGGACATCGACACCCAGTTTGAGTTCACAGTCCGACGAGCGCTTTCGCCGTGGCATCCCCCGGAGGAGAAGGAGGACGCCAACATGGATGATTCGTACAAACGCTTTCGGACCAATCTTGTGTTGCTATGGGTCTTGAGCAATGCGCTCTTGGCACTCTGTATCAACAACGAAGGGATCAGGAATCTCTGTTTGACGGTAGGCTAAGCGCAACCAACCGGCAATGAGCGATATGGGCTAACGAGAACTGCTAGACTTCTTCGACGGATCGTACGGCCTGGTACTTTAAGATCATCCTCTGGCTTACCTCCGCGTTGTCGATTTTCCGGTTCATAGGCGCTCTGTGGTTCTTGGGCAAGACTGGCGTGTTGTGTTGTTTTTCGAGACGTTGATCCGGCTATTGCTCTTGAGTAGTATGTAATATCATCAATCTAATACGGCGGCGTAAATCGAGGTTCTGGACTGTTAAGCATTCTTATCGACTTTTTTGAACATGTTTCTTTAAAAACTCGTTTCGCTTTCGTTCAGACCGTCTTACATTCCTTGTCAGTTTTCGGGTATCACCGCGCCCAAGAGTGTGAGCTGCATTGTACTATAGCAGGGATGTCTAGTTTGACCACCATAGACAGCTACTCGACATGTCCATTTCACGATTCTTCACAAGAATCCTTCCGCATGAGTACTTCGCAGGCTCGCGATCAAGCAAGGCTATGTGGATAGAAACCACAGTGTCAACCCAGACGAGGCATGCCTGGGACACTATACATCAGTAAGAGTGTCCCATCTTCCGAGGTCAGGGTATTTCTGACTTCGGTTCCTAGTCATTTTCGGTCACCCCAGGAGAGTCTCTCGAGAATCAGCAAAGCGGTCGACCGCTACGGTGTATATGTAAGACAAATCGAATCTCAGAACACAATTATGCATGATCCACTAGACGAGATCCAAGGGGCGAAATATCCGGCGCCCACCAAAGGACCTTTCGTTGGTGGGATTGGATCCGAAAATGAATACCGATAGAACCGCCGGGCAATTCAGTTTCTTCAGTGAGCTTAGTATCAACTTTATACCAACACCGCGTCCACTCTGGAGTAAAATGTATGATATCAGATCCGGGATACTCTCGGCATAACGGCGCATTGTCGGAGCCGAGACCTCGGAGCCGAGCGCTGTGCCCTAACTTGCAAGTGGTGTATGTCATTCCACCGATCGACAGAGTCATCGCCTGGTGGCATTTCGATCGGTGAGAGTAGGCGGAGCCGCATGCATTCGAAGTTGGCTTTCTTCCAGTCTGATGTGCGACTAGGGCAATACCGCTCATCACCGCTACGATCTCAAGCTGTCCCCGGTTTTGAACATTTCTCAGCGACTCTTTGCCGAATATAGTGTCTCCCCCATGGGAGGCCACCTTTATCAAAACGTCCTACACATGCGCACATCTTGAACCTCCACGCCCCTGACGGTGACTCTTTACCAGAAAATGAGGTGTGGTCGATCGTGTGCCGATGGCAGGGCCTCCGTCTCCTCTACGACCTTTACTGCAACCCCTCCATGCGTTCAAGGTACTCGCGCTTGGTCTTCCTTAGTTGGCCCAATAATGAATGCTACGAGGAAGAGCATGCGCTCGTACATGACGAGCCTCTAAAACCGAACATGACGTCGCATAAGGACACGGTGCCTGGAGGTGATTACCACATTGCGCAGTCTACGAAATCGAAGTGATAGAACGTTTCTATCAGGCCTTGACAGCACATTGGCTTGCCGTGGAGACATTGTGGCTGGCCAGGATATCACGTTATAAGACACCGCAAGAACGAAACGACCGCTTCGTCCAGGTAAGGGGAATATGGAGGGATAATCCGGATCGGACCCTCCAGGAGAAATTGGACATTCTGGAAGTATTTGATTTTGTCTGGGGGTTTCTCGGGAAGAAGATCTTCGTTGACGTCTATGGCATGCGGAGTTGGTTGGACGAGGATGGAGCAGGGCTCTACTTTGACGGTGAGCAGTCGGAAGGCGTTAACTGGGCCTTTTTGTTCGATCGGCTACTCAATACCTTCGTCCGCCCAATATTATTGAGTTACTGCTGTCCGTAGGAATAGTTACCCACAGTGATTAGTGTATTCCTGAGACCCCACAGAAGTGACGGCGGCTGTAAAGATTGGCCTTAGCAGAGTCCCACATTTTTGTCCCAAGGGACTAAATCCCTTTAGGAAAAGTTTTTTGGTTCTGAAAGTCCGGTTGGCATTCTTCGCTTTGCCTTTGTCCAGCGTAGAACTCTCCCCATCTCAGAACCGTCTCGCCGTGAGAATTGTTCGATTATCCAACTCTTGTCATCATGAACACGGTACGTCGTACTCCCACACCCCTGGATTCGCCTTTTGCTCTTCTTCTTCTTCTTTTCTTCTTTTTCTTTTCTGTTGCTTCCTTCTATCTTCTTTATTATCTTCTATTTCATTCCAATTTTATTTTCTCTGTAGAGGAATTGAACGATTGATCAATGTTCCGCACTGTTGACATGTTTCTTCTGGCAGATCCGATCGACATGGTAAGTGAACATAGTCGGCAGTCATAAAACTGATGCAAATGGCTCATCCCATTCGACGAGTAGGATCGGCTGGGGCACTCTTTGTGCGGGTAAGGACGTCGTTACTATCAATGCTGTATCACTCTATCCTGGCTAACACACCGGTCGTTCTCCTGTTGATAGCCGGTGGGAGCGCTTACTATATGGCAAACAAATCCATCACCGCGGACAGAGAGGCTAGGCAGGACAACGCCATGAGACATAAGGCAAAAATGGCCGCCATGGAAGCAGAATACAGACAAGCAGCGGCAAATACCGCCAGTGCCCTTTCGGCCGCCGATTCCCCATCTTCGAGGCCACAGACCACGATGCGTCAGACGAAGGACAGTGGATAATGGAGGGACATTACTCAACAAATGCCGCGTCATCACGGACTGGCAATCAGTCGTGAAAACGGGGTCCATAGGAACCATTTTTATTCTATTCTATACTCTGTATAAATGCGCATCCAACTGACCCTTTCTTCCTTACGCCCGGTGTTCTATCCGACATAGAATCTATTTCAATTACCGAAAGTCTTCCCCCCGCCGTAACTTCAGTGGTTGGTATCGACGGTTCCTGGTGCTACGCCGAGCATCTTGCAACATGGTTAGCTTACGGTCTGATTGCCTTGAAGTGGAAGCGGTCGCTATCTCACCCGTTTGATATCACCATAGATGGCAAACTGGCCCGCAGTCATACCGGAGACCATGACCAGTCGGGCTCGAATGCCCGCATAACTGCCACGGATCCCAAGTGTGGAGGCGATGTTAAATAATCGCCGGATAGTTCCTTCTCCGGACTGTGCTTGCGTTTTGTTGATCTGGCTCAGCATCGTGTCTGCCGGCTGTGAAACAAGCGCGGCCGCCACTCCTGCCAGCAGGCCGGAGCCGAGATTGATCCCAGTGTGTGCCGCAGTGGATAACTTCGACCGATCCAGCGACTGATATGCCAAGTCGATGGCTTTCTCATACACAACGAACGTAGCCATCGTGTACGGAATCCTGTAGAGAGGTCATTCGGCTGGCCACGAGCACAGATCTCATGGTTTTGGGGGGGGAAGAGGAGGAATGACGACATACTGCTTCAGTAATATGGGCCCCAGGCCAGAGTATAGGCCATTGACCCCTTCCTGTAATGCCATCTTTCCGAGGCCATCTGCAAGGCCTCGAGCAAATGTCGGCTGAGAGACGAGACGAATTCGAACGGCTTCAAACGGACACAGAAGTAGAACCCCAAAGAACTCCGCCATAGCAGAGGAGGTCAAATAGACGGCATTCCGGTTTCTAGACGCGGCGTCGTGCCCGATGGCATCGACTGTCAGTTGCTTGAAGAATTCATATCCGCCAAATTTGCAAGCTCCTTGCAAGAAGTACCCAGTAACCGTGGGGCCGAATCCAGTGGCCAAGGCCGCCACCCCGTCCTGGACGGTCACTTGCCGTAAACCGCTCCAGATACCCTGGCGGTGCAACAGAGGGTTAAGCTGCATCCTTGTTTTCACACTGCTCCAGTCAGCCTGCGCTTTTGATCCGGCCAGACAAACTTACACATCAATCGGGGTGAGAACTGCATGTGTGAACGAGCAGCAGATGCCCCCAGCCACTGCATATCTACTGTACACCCCAATTCCGGATCCTGTCTGCTCTCTAGCTCCTGCGACTCTCTGGTGCCCGTACCCCGTGCTGGGGAGCGAGCTAAGTTGCGATGAGGAAGACATCAGATTGTGCAGTTTTTGATGATTATGAGAACCGTAGAAGATATGTATCACAGTGGTAACGAACGACTGTAAAGGAGAGAAATACTCCTCGGCAAAGAACTGACGTGCTCATGAGCAGCTCTGGCGGTCTTTTGTCCTTTCTAGTATTGAATTGGCTCCGATTACGATGCAGCTGATAGACCAACTAACGTAATTACTTGTTATGCTATTCTCAAACTTGTGGATCGCGTTCTCAGCAATCCCGGTTTTGATTATTTTCTTCTCGTCTCCTATAGGTCACCCCTGCGTTTTGTTTCGGATCCCCTCATTTAAATCATACACAAATGGTCCTTCCTGCCTCCCACCCACGGACTGAAAGTAACGAGGGCTAAGGCTACAGTGGGGGTCCAATGATCGTATGCGACCCCTTTATACTTATAGGTACCCAGTGGCCTATACGTATTCAGGATCAGCCAGATACTTTCCGACCCACTCTCCTGAAATTATCTTATCGTCGGATCCGACAGATCCGAACCATCTCCGACGGAGGTTCACGGCAGACCCACGTGGAGAAACCTTTTCTGTATGACTACGCAGAGTAGACTCCTGGTAGGGCACGCCCGGTTGGGAGAGGTTCGGATACCGCTATGTCAACCCTTCTTTCCAGTCGCCTGCAATTCTTCGGCATTTCCATCAACCTCGGCCGTGGCCATCCTTGTTATAATTCTGCACGTCCGATTCCTTCCGAGGATTGACGGTGATTTGATTCGGTCCACGATCACGGTCACCGTTAGCTTGGAATCCATGTCCTAGGCACGTGTGTGCAGGGTAACCGCTTTACCGTCCGTGACAAGACAGCAAGACCGTCTCTATAGTGGTCACAAATAATGACCTGTCACTCCAACAAAGCGTACTGGATGGTGGGACTGGGCGCATCAATTGGTAACAGCATGCTCGCAATGTCAGGTAGGACCTTCAGGGTAGTAATTTCCTGATGTACGCTATCCTGGCAACCAATCTAGAGGGAGTTAGCCCAAACTACTAGTCCCGATGAAAGTCTGGGTAAGGGCTCCACTGGATCACTATACAGAATGACTACTTATTTTTAATTTTTTTTAATTTTTTTTAGAATAGCGGTTAATGTAGAGGATCCGGTTGTTCGTTTGGCACGATACGCCGTGGTTATTAATCAAGGGGGCGGCATTTTTATTCCATCTCTTCAACTTATTTAATTATGCTTCCCCCCAGTTCAATGAAGTGATGTGGAAGTCACTTTCTTAACTAACCGTCCCTCCTGGAGTTTTTCTTCCTCAACCACACATCCCCAGAATACTTTATAATCTCTCGATATCTGCCGGGCCTCTGGTAATCCCAGTCACGATTCCATAGGAAAAAGGTTTAAAAACACAGCTGGCTCTCTACTCTACTATTCCTGTAGTGACTCCCCTCTGCCAACCTTCGATGTCCTACGTCGTATAGCTTCTGAGTCTCTGACTGAAATCTTCCCAGGTCCTGAATCTCCCACCCTCAAGATGTTTGTCACGCGTGGAATCTCCCTGGTCAACTTCACCGTCGCCTCCTCCGCACTCGCCTTCCAGGTCTTCGTATTATATCCCTGGCACAATCAGCTAGACGACGAGTTCAAAGCGTTGAAGCAGGAACATCTGCGCGTGCTGCGTCGAGCCGATCAATTAATCGCACAAAAGCTATAACATAACGGCCAAGGATTCTGATATGCGCATGACCCTGGGGATTTTCAAACAGTGTTTTAGATTGCTTGTATACAGCGTCGAGTTTTTATAGAATGGCTTTAGAGCCACGGAGTATTTTTTACAGCCTTTTTTTTTGTTAACTTTTTGAAACGTGTTCCTTGTCTGAGGCACAGAGACTCGGTTTACATACAATACTTTTATTTGGCTCTCAAGTCCCAATAAATTGTCTAAGCGAGATTCTGTTGTCGACTCTCGGGTCGATCCTCCATTCTTGGACAGGGTGGGTTTTGGATCCACAGCGAGCCGTCTATGATGTGCTCCCGTCGGATTCCGATCTTTCATGGAGATGGAAATATCGGCGTATTTGTTCATAGTATATTGGATGTCTAGTCTACATTCGCAGAAAGGACAATAATGAAGCTCCTATGTCAATACTAACCTATGACCAGACCAGTGTCTGTTCTGTCATACCATGGAGTGTCGGCCCGCAATAAGCTGAAGATATATATTCTCGATGGGTTTGCCGCAGGTAGTAACCAGTACAACTAAATTCTACGACCAGATACACTATCGACAGGAAATCCAACAACAATTGCTAACCAATAGCAGGTTCCTTGCATTTTCTTTTCTTCCTTGCAGAGGTGCAAGCTTCAAAAAAAAAAAAAACAAAAAGAAAGAGAGAGAGAGAGTCAATTCAAAGAGAGATATAATAAATATGCAAAATAGTCG